ACTTCCGGTAGGTGAGGGAAGAGCTCGGGGTGATCGCATGGCACACACACAGAGCAAAGAAGTTTAGCCTGGGATGTTTACTCTGATAAAATGAACAAGTGTTTTGAAAAGATACTCTGATTTATTATATAACCCTTTTTTTATGTTGAAATGATTTAATACTATGATTTAGTAATGTTTTGAAAAGAAATTTTTGTTCAAGATTTTTGGGATGTTACAACAAATTGTAACCATAACTTGATATGCATATGATGTTATTCAATAACAGCAAACTTTCATCAAAAATCCAATTATAAAGCCCAAACTTCATGCAAAACATTACAAAAGTCAAGTTAGGGTTTGAAAGCCCTAAGAATCCCGACCTAAGTCCATTTTGGACTAGGATTTCCTTATTGGGCTTAATGGGCCAATAAGCTTTCAATTCGACTGTTTTGGGCTTAGAACTCTTAATTGGGCTCTAATTGGATCCACATTCATAAAACCTAACCTTTTGGGCCATCATGGGCCTAAAATGAAATGGTTTACCCTAATGGGCCTTATTGGGCTATAATTGATTTAAACTAACCCTAAAGGACCATAAATCCATTTCTTTATACAATTTGGGCCGTGAACCATCCTAAAACTCCAATGGGCCGAAAACCATCAAAATGGGCCTCATATTATTAGAATCGAGCATTAAAGGCCCAAATCACCTCTCTTTTTTCTCCCTCTCGACCCATATAAAAGAAAGAGAAACTAAGAGGATTAATGAGTGTTAGCCACCTCATTATTGTTTAGTGGTCATCTAAGCATATTACACAACATGTAACTATGCATGATCTCATGTTTCCATGCCATTCTTTCTTTCCCTTTCCCCCTTTTTCTTTCCTTCGACCGAGAGACAAGAAAAACACACACACATAATTCATTTTCAATTCTCTCAAGAACAACTCTCCTTCACCCTCTAAATTTTCGAGAATTGGAAGCATTCAAGGAGGCTTTCATCCAAAATCACTTCAAGCTATATACTAGTGGTAAGATCTTACAAATATACTTTCTTTATACACTCACTCACTCTTCTTACAACCTTAATCTCTTGATCATACTCCCTAGAACTCATCAAAGTTTGAAGGTCCCTTCAAGAAGCTTGCTAAGGCCGAAAACCACACCCTCTTCTTCTACTATTCTTCAAAAACTGAAACAACAAACCCAATGTGAGTTCATACCCCCTTGTTTTTGGTTTTTACTTGTTTTTGGGGGGAGAATACAAGTGTTATGTGTTGATCTATGTGTGTTTGCATGTTATATGTGATTTCTTTGGTTTATGTTGTGATAATGTGTTAATACTTATTATATTTCGAGATCTATAGCTAAAATGCGAAAGATTCATAAACAAAGACATAATAAACAACATACATCATAGATCTAAGAGTCCTTAAGTTTAAGAAGTGAAAAACAAAACCAAAGATCTTTACAAGTGTCATTTTTGCAAAAATAACAAAGATTTGGTTGAAAGATGATAATTTTTGGTTTTATGAGGGTTATAAAGTATTTATTTATATAAAAGATGATTTTTATGAAAATAATACTTTTCAAAGGGCCAAAGATATAGAATTTTGCTTAATTGGCTTATATTTGGGCCTCACGGATTTTTGGGCCCAAAATTGCGAAAATGAAGAATTTTAGGGACTGGAATTATAAATTCATAAAAGTATGAGTCTAAAACATAATTAAACTATTGCAGGGGCTGAAAATGACTCTTTTTGCTAAATTGGACTAAAAATGCAAAGTTTTCAGATTTTGGGCCAAAAGTGTAAAACTTACGGCAAATGGGCCAAAAATGTAAATTTTTAACAAATAAGGGCTGAAAATGTCAAAAGTTGTATTTTGGGCTGAAATTATAATTTAAGATTTTATTTGGGCCGAAAATACCAAGTTAAGTAATCAAATGGACTAAAATGTCATTTTTCATCAAAAAGGACTAAAAGTGTCATTTTGCACCATTAAGGGTTGAAAAGGTAAATTTTGTATGAAAAAGGGACTGAAATGGTCAAATAAACATTTTGGGCTAAATATGTAAATTTCTAAACAATTTGACCAAAGATATAAATTTTTACAACATGAAGGTTTAAAAATGGTATTTTTATAAAAACTAAGAATATCGTTATAAACCAACATTGAGTATTTAACATCGAAAGTAAACACTAAGTGTAAACCAAATCCCATACCACAACTTATATTGATAAACCTATAAATGATACGACGGTTGGGCCCAATGTTTCCCATTCGCGCTTATTGGGCTTCCGGTGACCCAGTTACACGATTATTGGGCCCAATATAATCAACACATGTTTATTGGGCTTCCGGTGACCCAATTACATGCCTAATGGACCCTCATTAGCTTTTACATGCTATTGGGCCTTCGTGGCCCATTTGCATCGCTAATATGGTCCAAATCAATTATCATATGCTTGATGGGCTAACGTGTCTGTCGCATACTCGACAGTCTGTAATAACATACATGATTAGTGGGTCACAGTTGTCATTTTTCGTGTTTGTTAGGCTTTATTCATATTCATGTAAACATCAAATGGGTTGTAATCAATGTTATTCAAATTCATGGGGTAATAATAGGGATTTAGTGAGAATTATCGGTTGGCACCAATAAGTGTCGGCCGTAGCCTGTAGTTATAACCAAAGTCTCCTGGAGGGAGGGCGAGAGTTTGTGTATAGATTTATACGGGGGTGACTCCCCCACACCTGAGCTGTTCGCTACAGTTAGACTCGGTCAGTCTAGGGTGACAAAATCTTGATCAAAACCGGCGTTTGGAAAAATGCCAAGACAGGCGAATTAGTCACTATTATGCATGGTTATAACGACTCACATATAGATCCATTACCATCTAAGTGTTCATGAGAAATCATATTCACACACTGTGACGATGCAAAGTGATTTATACAATAATACAAAACTATCATACTATTTAAATTGAAAAACATCGGGTTTTCCGGGGAACGACATTATTCACTGCTACATACAACAACTACAATAAAAGAACAATTATGAAGAACATTCACTTTTACATGTTTTGAAATCACCTACATATATACTTATGGGATCATCACATCTTTTTCGTAAAGAATTTTTGTTACAGAAAATATTGGATTTTCTGGGTTTTACAAACAATACAAACTATTTTTATATCAAGCATGCTTATGAACTCACCAACATTATATATGTTGACCGTTTTCAAAATAACTTGTATTCTCAGGAAATCGTTAGACTAAAGAACCTTCAAGCGTGTTTCTGAAATTTCTTTTGTGCAATGTCAATCGTTAAACAATTTATGTTCTGTGAAGTTGTAATGTAAAACAATGTACTTGATGTAAACAATGATGCTTGTACTATGTAATGTTGGTGATGATTGTGTTATGTTTCATGTATATGCATTGTGATGATATTTCAATTTAAGTCACACGAGCCCTCGGACGTTTCCGTCGTCTGGTTCGGGGGTGTGACAATTGTTATCAATAGAGAAAACATAGATCCAATTAGATTGCATGTGAACTTAAGAGTTATGTTATTTTCTGCCTCATCAAATCCATCAGGAAGAGGATCGTTCATTGGGCAATAAGGAATTCTAAGAAGATGCTTAGATTTCAAGCAAATCGGTTGCTTTGGGAACAAGCGAATTTTATTTATGGTAGTTTGTAATCAAGTAGAATTCTAATTGTTAGCTATATATAGATGCATATGATCAAGTACGATCATATCAAGAGAGTTACAGAGAGTTGATTGTAGCAAAGTTTTGAGATAGTTTCTTTGCTATAATAAGTATAATTCTTGTTTCTTCGTGTTTTTTCAATTATTTACAACAATGTTTTGAAATAGTTTTGTTCGTGTCTACAATCCAAATGTTTTTTTTGTTTGGAATGGTTTAATTTCATGCCTTCGAATGGGTTTGTTCATGTCTATAATTCAAATGTTTTTCTAAAAACAAACAGTCTTTCTGCCCGCAAACATAACAAGTCAAAAAGACTTTTCGCCAAAAAAACAAACACCACCTTAATGTATCATTCTGTTGTTAATCAAACATTTATTTACGAAAAAACTCGAAACCGTAACAAGAAAAACTGAAAAATACCAAAACCCAACCGAAAAATGTAGACGCAAAGACCGCAAGACTAGACCGAACCGGAAAAAACCCAGGCTCAAGACCGTCCGGTACCGGTCCGAAAAAAGACATGATTGTTTCGAGACCGGTCCCAAAAAGATCTAACCATTTCGAAACCAACCCAATCCCGGTCCAGGACCTCCAATGTGCATCTCTACAAACAACTAAGGACAGATTCCCCATAGTTCGAGGAGTAATCGCCTAATTTGTATCTTCTTTTACTTTCAATGTTTCACCAATTTAAAATTAATCAAATGTTTGTTTAAATCGTTTACAATATATATTAGAACGAAAAATAATCAAAGGATACTTTCATCCTATCTGCTGTCACTGCTTGCTTGTATGTTGCTTCTCACTATATAATGGCTTAATGTTGTATCCTAAAGAATTTTTACCTAACTTTTTGTTAAATTCAAAGCTTGGAGATTATTTTGTACATTTTGAATGTTCGTTCTTCACCAGAAACAAATTATGAACAACTAATTTCATGTTGCGTAACCTTATATGACAAGCCAAAACATAATCTTACACGCATACCATAAGAAGGTTACAGTAGTGTTGTTTGCCTTAAAAATACTTTTGAAATTTCATCAAGAAATCTTTTTGCATATTGTTCAATACCACTACATGAGTGCAATTTGCAACAATAGAATTAGTTGTACAGCCAAAATTTGAGATTGTAAATTTGTTTGCTAAATAAAATTAAAATCCTTCTCTTGTTTATAGTAGTATATACATCTTAAATTTCAAATAATAACTCGAAAGATGCAATGTCTTAGAAATAGTCAACACATGCAAAAAATAAAAACAAAGATAAAGACTAAAGAGTGGTAACAAGTATATCAGTCACCCATCTATGATATCAACATTCAAACAACTATGGGGGAAGTACCACATCCTTGTAGAAAAGAAGCTGCCTTTTGGACATTTCTGATCAGTAGTAGTGTGACGACAGAAACAATCATATCTCTTTAACTGTGACCGAGGGCCAATCCACAACTCTGGGTTAAATACAACACCATACTTCCAATCACTACAAAAAAATGAATATTCTCCTATTGTCTTTTCTTTTGGTGATACCCATTTCATTTCGCCAAAATCTAGTTCCTCAATCGGTTCTTTTAAACCGTGATCCATCACATAAAGGTTCTCATCTGAACTTACAAACACCGGATTCGCTGATTTTGACTTTGGAAAATTCTTGATTTTGAGTAATGTCAATTTGGGCTTTGGATTGAGTTTCATTTCATACACACGCCAAGTGTTGCTTCGGGCATATATCTTCCCCTTGAAAGCGTGTAAATCAAGGATGGAGTAAGTGGAGGAGACATGATTCCATGCTCCTTTACCCTCTACTGAAAACCATATATTGAAGTAGAGTCTATCTATAACTACAAACACGCACCTATTTATTATATTTGAAAAGACAAGGATACACTTAAATAGAACAAGATTTTGTAAAATGGGGATAGCAGGGAAATGTAGTTCATGCCTCGTGATAGGATTCACAAGCCAGTAGTCGTCGGTTATCCAACTTATCAAGATCAAGTAACCACAAGTTAATCCTACACACCTCCTGCCAACAGAATGGGGAAGGAGGGTTTTGAACTTTCTTCCATCAAAGTCCTTCAGGTGGCAGTAGTATGAATTCATATAAGAAGGATCAGAGATGGACATCAACATGGGTGGTCTGGATGCCATAAACCTCTTCCTGAGTGCAAATGACCTCCATGACTTGCAAACTCCACTAAATGCAACAAAATCAACGAAACTCAGTTGCATCATAACTAAAAACAACACATCATGGTTAAGTTCTGACCAAGGCCCCACACCACTGTTGTCACGAGTCTTAATCCTCTTCTTCCTGCTAGATGTTGATGCATCATCATCATCATGATTCTGGTTTCTAGCCATTCCTACACTTACTAAAGAAAAATAACTATTCAGGATCTTGGTAAATGCGAATTCCACATAAGATATAAGAATTATGAAGACAATTACTCAATTACAAGACTTGAAAAACTTACATTCCTTATATACAATTGGCTAAGTCAATTACTCAATTACAAAAGCAGAAAAGCTATAAAGAATTGAATGAGCAGGAGCATCTGAACCAGAAAAACTATACGAAATACTTTTATCCGCAGCAACTCAAAAAAAAAAAAAAAAAAAAAAAAAAAAAAAAAGGAATTAAATAACACTCAGAAACAGAAATAAAGAAACCAATAACCGACATGTCAATCAAATACCAACTAAATGATCAATTAATAAACAAGCGTGAGATAAAATGCATAGAATAAGATTCGGAAACCAAAAAATTCAGAAATCAATAAACATGAAAACTTTGACTTACAAAAACAGAAAAATCGTTACGTAAGTAAGACTAATGAACGAGCACTAAATCGCATAGATATAAACAATAAAACCGTAGAGAATCAAGTAATCAACCAATCAACCAAGCAAAAATTTAATAATGAAACTGAAGTACAAATTTTCGACAAAAAAAATTTACCTGATTGACGGCTGTGAATGGTTTCGGTAGCAGAATCAGTTGAGTTAATAAATTTAGGAACCAATGGGTATAAATACTGAATTAGAGCTCCAAGATAACCGTTGTTTCCATAATGATAGCAATCGCTGCGAGTAATTTTGGTGTTGCTTATCCCTAATCCGACGACGAAATCGCCTCAACCGAATCAGTTCTAAAATAAGACAGGATCAAAAAAGCCCCAATCGGTCCGATATTGTTTGGACCGCGAAATCGGTCAAAAAAAAAAAAAAAAAACGGTCTGTTTTAAAAATTTACATACATATAACTTGTATGTTAATTACGTATTTTTTTAATGGGATAAAACACTAAAAGGATAATCACATGCTCCTATGACCATGCTCCTATGGTGTTAATCACAAATATTAATCCATCATTTTGGTGTTAATCACATATTTATTAAAGAAAAAACTCGAAGCCAAAACCAAAACACTTGAAATACAAAAACGGAACCGATAAAACCCTGATACCAAACCAAAAAAGACGCATTCATGGCCATACGAAAAAAGATCAAAACCAATCCGAAAAGGATTAGACTGAAAAAGACCGACTTGTGACTGTTTGGTATCGGTCTGGGGTAGCCAATGTGGATCTCTAACTCAAACTGATCATCGATCAATCTCAAGTTGACAAATTGTTGTACACAATGATACTCTTTAGGGTTGTTTCGTAGGATCAAACTGATTTCTAAATGCATGAATGGTGTAGAAGTTCTCAATAAATCTGCATATGAAATAAAACAAGATGTTTCATTAGATATACGAATGACCGAATTGAATGATAAAAATGATCATTTTACCCTTCCGAACTATTTTACTTGAGTGATATGTTCATGTTTTATAAAATATAAAACATATCATATATGAACCAACTTGCTGAATAAGTAAAAATATATATAGAAAATCATAAAAATCCAAATTAATCATTAATCTATTCAAAATACAATTTAAACATAAATCTTTTGCATGTTAAGCTTTTAGGGATATATACACTAAAGTCCCAATATTTTCATCGAGTTGACAAGAAAGTCCTAAGCTTTATTTTTTTGACAGTAAAGTCCAAATTACTGGCAGTTTTTGACACTTTTACCATTTTTTCCCGGTTAGCCGGTAATTAGGACTTTTTTGTCAAAAAAATAAAGTTTAGGACTTTCTTGTCAAATCGTCAATTGGGACTTTACTGTCAAAAAAATAAAGTTTAGGACTTTCTTGTCAAATTGTTGAAAATATTGGGACTTTAGTGTATATATCATTTTTTTGGTTAGAAGTTTAATGGTATGATACTCTTTAAGCATAAGAGTTATTGAAACATTCTCTAATCAGCTAGATCCTATTGAAATCTTTAACGTTTGCTTCTTGTTAAATCGTTTTTTTAATCTCAACAAACTGACATTTAAAAAAATGGAGAAGGGAAAGAAGGGCAATTTCGTTTTTTTCGGTTTCTTATTTCTCCATTTTTGGGAATGCAAAAAGCCAACACAACCCTGGTTCTTTCTTTCTTTATTAATTATCTCCATTTTTTCAATGTCGGTTTGTTGAGATTAAAAAACGATTTAACAAGAAGCAAACGTTAAGGATTTCAATATGATATAGCTGATTAGAGAAGGTTTCACTAACTCTTATGCTTAAAGAGTATCATACCATTAAATTTCTAACAAAAAAAATGATATATACACTAAAGTCCCAATATTTTCAACGATTTGACAAAAAAGTCCTAAACTTTATTTTTTTGACAGTAAAGTCCTAATTGACGATTTGACAAGAAAATCCTAAATTTTATTTTTTTGACAAAAAAAACCTAATTACCGGCTAACTGGAAAAAAAAGGTAAAAGTGTCAAAAACTACCGGTAATTTGGACTTCACTGTCAAAAAAATAAAGTTTAGGACTTTCTTGTCAACTCGATGAAAATATTGGGACTTTAGTGTATATATCCCAAGTTTTTACTCCAAAAACTTGTATTCTAAACGTTAATTTGCATGTTAAACTTGCACTCCCAAAATAAATCATTTACAAATCAGGTTATTTAAAAATTAATACAAACTTTTGTAATTGCATCGCCATCTTCTTTGACTCCAATCATTGCAAATTGCATATTCTCAATAGTAAGATGTTGCAACCTTTTTCAACACAATGATAATCGGAGAAAAGACGATTAGGAAAGAATTAATGCAATCACTAAACAAAGAGAAAAAAAAAAGATAAAGTATGTGTGAGAAAGAGCAACATCCACGTCCAGAAAACGATTTCATGTGTTACAAACCTTAGAAATATACAGGAATTGGCTTGAAGGATTTATTGTGAAATGTCAAGAAAATAAATTAAAGTGTGTAAATTAGTCAAATCAAATAGGAAGGTATGGTGGCGGTATCGGTACCGTATTTTCAGTTCCAAAACCGAAGAGAACTGAATTTTAAAGTACATTGCCATTTTTCGTGAATTGCCTTGAGTTGTTGCTTGGAAAATTTTTGGAAGGGGTAAAAGAGATTGATTTGTATGGGTGTTGTGTGCATTGTTTTTGGAATGGTTTAGCTTCATGTTTTGAAATAATTTTGTTCGTGTCTACAATCCAAATGTTTTTTTTTGTTTGGAATGGTTTAGCTTCATGCTTTGGAATGGGTTTGTTCATGTCTACAATTCAAATATCTTTGTTTGGAATGGTTTTGGAATGATTTAACTTCATGTTTAAACTGTACAATCTAGGACTAATATTATAAAAGCCCTAAATTTTTAATGCATAATTGGAAAAAGCCCTAATATTTTTTTTTTATTATTGTTTTGGCCACAATTTTCTTGCAGAATTATCACTCTAGCCCACTTAACAAGTTTCATGGTTAACTTGGTTAATTTTTTGGCAAAATCAGTCCTAAATATATATACATTTTTTATATATTACACCACATGGTTTTTTAAGTTTATTTTTCGTTTTTTGTAAACTTTATTTATTTTTGGTTTTTTTTATAAATATATATACATTTTTTATTTCTTTTTTATATACTTTATTTATTTTTATTTTTTAACTTTACTTTTCAACAATTTGTTTTTTTTTTTACCTTTTTACCTTTTGTTTTCTATTTTTTTTCTATTTTACTTATTTATGGTTTTTCTAATGTTTTTATTTATTTTGATTCAAGTAAACGAACTTGAATTCAATTTAAATTACTATAACAAGTTTTTTTTATGGAGACCGGCTATTATTATATTTTTTGTTCTTTCTTTTAGTCTATTATCAAATTGAAAAATATTATCTTGAATTTAAACTACTGATATCACATATAGAAATATGATTTAATTTACAAATTATATAACACATTGAAACACTAATTCTCAATAAACAAGCTAATTTTTTTTTAATTTTCATTTTTTCGTAATATAAATATAATAGCACTAAAGAAAAAAAGACTAAAAAGAAAATAAGTTGGACCGAAATTACAAATATAAACATAACTATTTATTTTACTTGAATAAAAATAAAAAAATTACAAAAACTATAAATTATCAAAATTGTAATATACTCTAATATATTAATACATTTTATATTTTTTGAAAAAGGTCAATAAAAAAGTTAAAAATACAAACAAGAAAACAAATAATTGGATAACAAATAAGAAAAAAATAAATAAAAAGATGAAAAAATTAAAAATATAATACGAAAAGAAAAATGAAAAAAACTAAAAAAACAAAAAAAATAAAAAAATAAAAATAAAAATAAACTCTAAGATACTCTATATATAAACTAAAAAAATAGAAACCAAAAGGTAAAAAAAAATCAAATTGTTGAAAAGTTAAAAAAATGAAAATAAATAAAGTATATATAAAAAAATAAAAAACGTATATATATTTATAAAAAAACCCGAAAATAAATAAAGTATACAAAAAACGAAAAATAAAGTTAAAAAATCATGTGGTGTAATTTTTTGCAAACCTCAGGGACCAAATTTAAACTTTTTAGGACTGATTTTGCAAAAAAGTTAACCACGTTAACCATGAAACTCGTTAAGTGTGCTAGAGCGATAACTCTGCGAAAAAGTTGTAGCCATAGCAATAATAAAAAAATATTAGAGTTTTTTCCAATTACGCGTTAAAAATTTAGGGTTTTATAATATTAGTCCTACAATCTATTCGATAAATAAAATCAAACTTCTTCTCTGGTTTAAACTAGGGTATACATCTTAATTTTTAAATCATTTAAAATGAAATTAGCACAAATTTAAAACTACTAAAATGAAATTATAGATGAGATGTAGATTGACTACTCTCGTCAATATAAAAATAGGAGCACGACCATCAAATATCCATAAAATTGAATTTGAACTATGCATGATACATGAGGTACACATCAATTCAATAAGCTCACAAATCACAATACATTGAAGGGGACTAAAATAGGACTACTAACATGTTTTTTTTCCCTTTTTTTGTTTATATTAATTAGAAGAGTTGCAATCTAAAATTTAAATTTTGCAAGTTTTTAATCGACCTTTTCACACACATCAAATGGAGATATAAACGATAGGTGTGCCCACATGAAACAAAAGGGTGAGCAAGAACATAAGTATTTAAACAATAAGTTGCAAGATGTCTATCACTCACGTATAAAGATTAATATTCAAACAATCACGAGGGAAGTACCACATGCTTGAAGAAAAGAACCTGCCTTTTTGACATTTCTCAGTAATGTTATGAAAGATCTCATATCTTTTGTATTGTGACAGAGAGTCAGCCCACGACTCTGGTATTATAGCAGTCCTATACGCAAAGTCGCTACAAAAGAAAGCATATTTTCCTATTGTCTTTTCTTTTAGTGACACCCATTTCATTTCACGAAAATCCATTTCCTCAAACGGAACTTTTAAACTATAACCATCCATCACATAAAGGTTTTCATCCGAACTTACAAGCAACGGATGGATGAAGCGTCTCTTTGGAAAACTCCTGATTTCAAGTAATGTCAATTTGGGCTCTGGACCAAGTCTCATTTCACACAAATCCCACCACTTGTTTAGGGTATACATCTTACCTTGGAAAACATGTAAATCAAGAATGGGGATAGCACAGGAGACATGATTCCATGCACCTGTACCCACTATTGAAAACCATATTAAACGGGAGAATCTCTGAATAAGAACAAACAACCACCCAGATAGGGAAGGTGAAAAGATCAGGATAGCCCTGAATGGATTAAGATTTGGTGAACAGGGAACAGCAGGGAAATGAAGTTCATGCCTCGTGATAGGATTCACAAGCCAGTAATCGTTGGTTTTCAAACTTAACATCACCAAGTAACCACAAGTTAATCTGATACATTTAGTGTCCGTGGAATGGGGAAGTAGGGTTTTGCGCTTTCCTCCTTTAAAATCCTTTAGGTAGCAGTAGCACTCTTTCATATTTGCATCATTAGAGATCCACATCAACATGGGTGGTTTGAATGCCATAAACCTCTTCATGTTACAAAGTGCAAATGACCTCCATGACTTACAAACTCCACTGAATGAAACAAAATCAAATATTCCCAATTGCATTGTAACTACAAAAAGCATATCATGGCTAAGGTCTGACCAATGTGACATAACACGGTTGTCACAAGTCTTGAACCTTTTCTTCCTGCTAGATGATGATGATGCATCATCATCATGATTCTGGTTTCTAGTCATACTCCTTGTCTTAGCCATTCCTACAACTGTGAAACAAAATTTAACTATTCAAGATCTTGGTAAATGCGAATTCTACATATGATATATGAGTTATGAAACAGGACAAGCGTACACTTATAACCTTCTCAAATAGTACAACTTTATCATATGTTAATGTTGCAAGAAAAAGACAAGACAAACACAATGTAAAAGGGTCCTCAAGTGAAAACAAACACGAAAATGTTTACATGATATACAATCTAATTGTGCCTAGAAATATTAAGAAAGTCCTAGATGACTCAAGAGTGAAAATTAGCACTTCTAAAGAAGATGAACGCTCTTAAAAAATACTACTTGGAAATTGTAACATTGTTTTTAAAAAACTAAAAAAAGATTACACCTTCTAGACAAGGTTACAACCACAATAATGACATGTCCCTTTTTACTCAAACACTTTTGTCTTTGGCCATGCTTCTTGTAATCAAAACCTTACATGAAACAAATATACCAAACTCAAACCAACCCTAGATAATCCAATTTATTAAAATAATTGTATCTAAGCATATTATGATAAAGATAACCAGTTGCATATCATGATATGTGCTTGAGTCATGACCCAATTAAACCTTTTCTATGACATTGATGATATAGTTTAATACTTATCAGACATTATTATAAAACAAAAACATGAAGACAATTACTCAATTACAAAAGTTGTAAACGAAAAGCAAAGTAGGTTTTGAATAGAAAAAGTTACATTCCAAATATATAAAAGTATAAAACTGGCTAAGCCAATTACTCAATTAGAATAGCAGAAAAAGCAGTGGAGAATCAAATGAGGGGCACTTAAATGATCAATTAACCTCTTAACCAGAAAAACTATAATAACTTTGTATAGTAACATACTTCAAGAACTTAATTAACATTTAGGCCCTGTTTTACACAAATACAGAAGCAGAAAATCATCATTTCAGGAAGAGCTATGAACGAGTTCGAAGCGTATAGATATAGACAATCAAGCTACATAATCAAAGTAATCAATCAAGAAAAGCTGAAATAATAAAACAAAAAAATTACCCGATTGATTGTTGTAAACAATTTCGGGAATCGGCTAGAGTTTCATGAGTAGAAATAAAACTCCAAGATTTTCGTTGCTGCCATAATCATAACAATCGCTCAGTAGTTCTTGTAATGCGTATCGATAATGGGCCCCAATTTTGTGCTGAAACATAAAAACCTTTGGGCCCAACACTTTTACGTGTTTCGGCTTGAAATATTTTAATTAAAAAGCAAGGTTGTCAAGATCGGGATCCTGCGTAGAATCGGTTTTTGGTTTGTAAGATCGGGATCGGGATCCTAAGATCCAACAAAATAAATTATAATTTTAATTTTATAATTTTTAATCATGAAAATATTTCAAACATTCAATTTTTTGTTCAAAAGTTATAAAAACTTCAAAATATTAGTCATAAGTCACAACACACAATGATAAATTGTAAATTGGTAAAGAGTAAAAGACATAAAGTGGTAAAAAAAATTTCATTTTCAAAAAAAAAAAAAAATCAAGGGAAGGTAGGATCGGATCGGATCTCGATCCTACGATCCGTTTACGATTCGGATTGTTTTTCATACCTAGGATTGTATGATCCTACGATCAGGATCGCGATTTTGACAACTATGTTAAAAAATGTTTAATACTATTTGACTTAAAATAATTATTTAAATTATTTTACATGATATTAAAATATAATAATTAATAAGTTGTTTGTCAATGTTTGACAAATTTTGTCTAATATAAAATGATTAATGATTTTTTTTAACATATTATTCATTTATTTAGTTTTTTGCATACAAATGTTTATATTTGTATCATTCATAATATCCAACTAAAGAACTAATGTGCCCAATGAACTATTAACCAGTAAATAATAATTAACAAGATGCTGCTAAGTTACAAACAATAAAGTATTAATAGCAACCTTAAAAATATGGGAAGTGATTTTTACATTATATTTTTTCTTCATAAACAATTTATGTTTTAGAAAGTATACTGTACAACCCTATAAAACATAAATTACTGTGCGTGAGAAAAAAATCCGGTTTGTGCACGTATAGTACACACTACAGGATCATAATCTTGACACTTCAAATTGTTGAACATGATAACAAAATTTATGGATTTCGATATATATAAAATACGTATGTGTTTGCGTATAGATGTATAACACATGCATTTATGATGTGTAATCTTCACATTGAATTGGAATCCGTGTTCCTAAATTTGGTTACACAATATCTCAAAACATAAATGTGCATAAATCATAATGGTAAAGTGGTATTTTTTGGACGTAAAGACCTTAGGGGATGTATTATTATAAGAAACCCTTGAGATAAAATGGTTCAATTCTTGTGGGGCAAAGAAGGTATATATAATTGACATTAATATTCAGGAACATTATGATTGTAAATATGCAGATTTAAGAGAACATGATAGTATACTATATATATATATATATATATATATATATATATATATATATATATATATATATATATATATATTTCAAATACTTGGTAAGATAAACCTTGGTTTTTTAATCATATCAAAGTTTTATGAAACCTTTTCCTCCCCTTCTTCCCAAAAATTGGGAGAAAATATTTGGAAGAAGAAAAAAAACTTACTGTGTTTCCTATAGATAGAATAGATGATTTAACCTTGGGTTCTCAAAGGGTCATGTTTGGTGAAGCTCAAGGGAAAATCGAACAACAGCAAGTTCCCCATAATTTGGGGACTAATGGGTATCTTTCTTTTGCATTTTCTGTTTTCACTACAGCAATCTTCAATACGACTACATGTCTACATGAGTGCTAATTGCAGCAAAAAGTTACTTGTATAACTATAATTTAAGATTCTACAGTTTATTTGCTAAATGAAATCAAAGTCCTTCTCTTGTTTAAAGTAGGATATACAGAAAAGTAAAACTTTTAAAGTGAAATTACAATTAAGTACGTATATTTAAAGATTTAGAAAGATTACATTCATCAATATATGTCAATTGGCATAGTTAAATTTGAATGTACTCATTGTAATGTTTTTTTGTTATCGTGATATTTGAATTTTGCAAGTTTTATATCCACCATTTGAATTTCACACACATAAAAGGGAGATATAGTCTATTTTTATACAATAAGTTGCAACAACATGCATGTCGTGAAAGAAGCTAACAAAAGCAAATACAAAAAAAAGTAACAAGTCTATAATAGTCTCAATGATCACTCATTTACATGATCAACATTCACACAACGATCAGGGAAGTACCATTTGTCTACAGCAAAAAACCTATGTTTTCGACTTTTATCACTAGTGTCAATGAAGCGTTCATATCTCTTATATTTCAACAGAGGGTCCACAGAGTCAACCCATGACTCTGGTTTAATGGCAGCATCATACCTCCACACACTAAGAAAGAAAGCAAGTTCTCCAATTGCCCTTTCTTTTTGTGTCACCCATTTCATTTCATCAAGATCTAATAGCTGAACCATGTTGGAATATTCTAGAAAGATATCCATCACATAAAGTTTTTCATCCCAACTTACAAACCCGGGATATAAGAACTGTGGCTTCAACATATCCTTGATTTTGAGTAATGTCAATTTAGGGTTTGGAGTGAGTACCATTTCACATACAACACCATACACGTCTATCGTATATATCTTCCCCTTGAAAACATGTAAATCAAGGATGTAGGAAGTAGAGACATGATTCCATGCAGCTTTACCCGATATAGAAAAGCATATTTCATGCTGGGATTGATTTAACACAACAAACACCCACCCATTTATTGTACGTGAAAAGACGAGGATAGCCTTGACTCCATTTGGAAAAAGAGGGGCATTGAAAGGAACACATGGGAAATGAAGTTGATGCCTTGTGATAGGATTCACAAGCCACAAGTCTTGAGTTTCCTCCCCTAACAATATTAAGTAGCCACAAGTTAACCCGATACAAGTCCTTCCAGATGAATTGGGAATCATGGTTTTGAACTTTCTTCCTTCAAAATCCTCCAGACAGCAGTAGCACTCTTTCTTCTTATAAGAAGGATCAGAGATGGACATCAACATGGGTGGTTTGGAGGCCATAAACTTGTTCTTGTTATCGAGTGCGAGTGATCTCCATGACTTGCAAACTCCACTGAATGCAAGAAAGTCAACAACTCCCAGTTGCATCATCACTAAAAAAAGTAAATCATGGTTAAGTTCTAACCAAGGTGCCACGCCACCGTGATCATAAGTCTTGAACCTCTTCTTTCTGCTAGATGATGATGCCTCATCATCATCATGATTCTGGTTTCTAGTCATACTCCTTGTCTTAGCCATTCCTATACTTGGCAAAAGTAAAATAAATATTCAAGATCTTTGAAAATGCAAAAGGTCAATTACAAAAGCAGACAAAACTGTGAAAAACATTAGGTCAATTACTCGATTACAAAAGCAGACAAAACTGTGAAAAACATTAGAGGATCAATCAACTTCTGAATGAAAAAAAAAAACTATGTTTTTTCATTTTATCAGCGGCAACTAAAGAAAACAAGAATCAAGAATTAAATACCAATAACCCACGTATCAAATGGATCAAAGTGTAAATTTCTACAGTAACATATTTCAAGAAATCAATAAACATTGAACTCTGATTTACTCCATTACAAAAACAGAAAATCATTACCTCAAGAAGAGTTACAAACGAATACTGAATCGCATAGATATAAACTATTAATGACTTAGATAATCAAGTAACCAACCAAGTGCAATTGAAATAATAAAACTGACAAAAAAGTTACCTTATTGAAGGCAGTGAACGATTTTGGTAGAAGAATCGGCTTGAGTTTATAGGTTTAAGAATTAATCGGTAGATAGAACTCCAAGATAACTGTTGCTTCCGTGATAGCAATCGCTGCGAGTAATTTCCATGTTGTTTAACCCCTAATTCGATGACGATGTCTCCTCTAGTTCTATTCGCTACAAGTTAATTGCTAATGCCGTAATGCGTATCTGTTGTCAAACCAAATAACTAACAAATATGAATATCAACTTTTTGTTTAACAAAATCAACCAAAAACTCAATTGATTAAGAACTTAACAAACAATCTAACTGAAACCCTTACAAGAATAGTATCGTGACAAGAAACTTACGCCTAAAATTAAGAGCTACTTCTAACACCTCTTATCAAAGGATCCAAGAACTCAGATTACACAACCAGAAGATTGATCTTAATGCAAGAACAGCGAAAGAGGGCAATCAGAGAGAAAACCCTCACATGTGAAAGTTGTGGATCAAGAACTCAGATTACACACTCTTATCAAAGGATCCAAGAACTCAGATTATATGAATTTAGCAAGTGTCTTCCAATTTTTACAGTGTAGTTTCCATTCTTCCGTACAACAACGCGTATTTCTTCAAAATACTGCTCCACTCCACTTGACAGCTTCAGTCCTCCAACTTTTTCCTGATTCACTTTTAACCCAGAAACTTTTAGACTTCACACTTTATATCCTGAAAACAAAAACAGTGTCTAAGAACCAAAAACTTATTTTCTCCAAAGCAAAATTGAATAATCCAAGAGCATTTTGACAGTATCCATAAAAAGCCCAATTTTGACAAACAAAAAAATTAGGCCCTTTTTGGGCCCAAGCTTCACATCATCTGGGCCGTGTATAAACTATAAAGCTCAAATAGATCAATCTCAACTTAGTGGTCGACAAAAATTATCTTCTTGCTCTCACAATGATTGAAAATATGTGTGTTTTCTTACAACTATATCACATACATTATTAAAGTATAATAAATATACCATAAAATAATATTATATAAATATGTTTATCGGATTGAAGAAATACATGTGTTAAAACATAAAACCTATAAAACTAACGATTATTGATAGTTTAGATTATCATATTTAGATACTTATACTTTATATAATGACTAGGTTATAACTCGTGTATTACACGAGGTTGACAACTTAAAATAACAAAAACATATATATATATCGATATATATATATATATATATATATATCTATATATATATATATATATATATATATATAGTATAAGTGAAAAACTAAAATTAATGCAGATAAACCGAATATGATAGTAGCAATTACTATGATATAATAGAACTCAGTAACCGGTACATTATCAAGTTGTAATTGAAAAGAAAACAATCAATCCTTGTATAAAAACAAAACAAAAAATGGAATAGTGTGTTTTATTTACCTTAAATAGAGTTGAAGATTTACATACCGGAAACGCAATTGAAGAAAGCATCAATAAAATAGAATGAATCGATGAATAAAACTTCTGCTTTATTAAAAAAAATGAGAACAAAGGTTTAAATAATTTCCCTTTCTCACCCTTTTGATTTGAATCTATTGCATCTCAGAGGCCTTTTTTCTCATCAACTTGCAACAAAGCACTTCTAATATGATCTTGAAACATTGCATCCTTCAATCTTGGAAACCTAGATAAGAAATTATACTTTAGTATATCACCTTCTTCAATGTGTACATCAGGAGGTCATTTATGCTTTTAACAAAAGAAACATCAGGAGGTCATACACTCTTCTAGGAAAATTAATAATTTTTCAATCTATTGCTGGATATTTCTTTTCGACTTAATTCCAACAGCAAGGTCATAAAGCATGCTCAATGAGTTCAAATATCCTTTATTTCAACGACATTATGATTAATTATCATGTTTTGTTTAAATTTTTTTATTAATATTAAGATTGAATAAATAATGATTTATAAAAAAATTTAAATAAACACTTTTTATCGAAGGATAAAACGGACATTTACTCGGTTTCAAGGAGTTCACCCAGTCAGCTAAGAGTCGGCAAAGACCTAGCTAGCCTACTCCTCCATTTATAGATTTCTATTCTATAATAGAAGAAATAAAGCCTGTAAGAAGACTCTTTCTTTGGGCTTCTTCTTAGTCCGTTAGGTAGTTGCCTAGAGCTATTAGATTTTTCGTCGAATGACTATTCATCTATTGTATTTTCATGCAAATATGGAGCAAAGAAAACTCTATGAAAAGATGGTGAAGCAAATACAACGGATACGCTAATCAATAAGATTGATGAAGTAGCAATTAATGCAAAAACAGCCAATTGGAAAGCAAAAATAGAACAATTTTTATATAAAAAACACTTTACTCATTATCGGTATAAAACTAAATGAGGAGAACAAATAGAACCTAATACTCGAATTCGGTAATTCCCAAAGCAGATTCATGCAGTAATTCTTGAGATAGAACTGATTTGCCAGATATTTCACCAAACATGTGGGGGTCATACAACCATACTTCCTCTGTTTTGCATAAACAGAAAACAAATTTAAACTTTGATGAATTTTAATATCGTCGTTTGGAAAATCCAAAGAAAAGCACATCTTTGATCGAAGCCTGGTTTGGTTGTGGGGTGGGGTGAAACATCCCAAAAATACTAGCCAAAAATTTCGTTTTCAAAATCATTT